AGGAGGAGTTTTGTCCCGCAATTTGACTAATTTCCAGGCAGCCGTTTACAGACGTCAAGGGGGATTGGATAGAGGCCGTGGAGGTGGCGGAGGCCACGCAGAAATCATCAGAAATATAACGCACCGGAAAGACAGCATCAGCAAGAATGACGACCACTGACTGACGTCTGACCCTAACGCTGACGCGCCTGAAGTGCATTCTGCCTAACCGGCCGAGCCGAGCCTTGCATGGGTGGTGGCGGCTGGCGTGGCGGCGAGGAGCTTCACCACATGCGTTGTCGTTGCAAGTTCCTGAGCAGTTCGGTCGCCAGTGTCGTCGTTGCTGTCGACGACGTCGAGAATCCTGTACACATACCCGCGCTGCACATCGTGCCGAGTACGACACAACTGATGCAAGTATACCGGGTGGAACAGTGAATGCGCAGCAGTGTTGCGGGATTGCATACCCGCCAGGGCTGCAGGGGCCATGGCGCCCTACGGGCGAATTGGGTAGGCAAACCCGCAACACTGCTGCGCATTCACAGTTACACCCGGTACACATAACTGCCACCTCCCCCTCTCTTCCCCCACCCGCCCCATTCCTCCGCGCCTTTTGACGGTTATCAGTTCCCGTTGCGTGCCGCGCACGACCCTCGCCTCGAGTGTGCCGCTCGGACGCGGACATGCGGGCGTGTGCACTCGCATTGCGTGCGTGGGACAAGGGAAGCGTTCAACTGTCACGCGGAGCGGTGCCCGTCCTGCGCCTGCGCCTGCGCCGGGCTGCTAAAGGGCTGTTCCACGTATGTGCCAGGGCTGTTCTAGGGTTGTTCCAGGGCCACGCAGCCGCAACGCATCGCTCGCGTCATGTGTAGTAGTACTTCCCTTGTTTGGGTCGTCCTATTCAGGATCAAACCAGAGAAGCCCATCGCCCGAGTGAGTGCAGCAGGTAGAGGGGCGGGGGAGGGGGAGGAGAGGTGTGTGTGGGGAAGGTTGGGGCGCGGATCGAGGATCGAGCGGACGGTGGTGGGAAGAGAGGGAGGGGGGAGGGAACGACAATTGATGGTGTTATGGGTTGGGGAGCTGAGGGCAGCCGGGGCAAGCGGGGAAGCAGAGGAGAGGCCACGGACGCTTCTGGAAGAATGAGCGTTGTGTACAGTCGGTCGGTAGCGGCGCGGCGTCGGCGGCTACGGGTACAGTGCCTGACCTACCCTACAGAGGGAGAGGGAGCGGGGAGGCCGCAGTAACAACATTAGAAGTGAATGATGTAAGTCACAGCTTCAGTTAGTTCAGTTAGTGCCGTTAGCGCACATCCGCTCAGAAACTGAAAACGACACGGTCCATTTTCTTCACGCGTGATAATTCTGCAGGTGATGGAGGAGCTGAGCTGACGCAACATAGCACCTGCATTTGCCTCACACCGCTCATTCGCCCACACATAGGCCTACCCAAATTCAATTCATGAACTGCACTGCATGAAATAAATATTTCGCGGGCGAAGACATATTTGTTTTTACGTTTTTTGCCCAGCAGGAAAGTCAGCCCGCGGTGCTGTGGCTTCCTGATTGGGGAAGGCCGTCTTGCGAATGACAGTGCAAGGCGACACACATTCAAAAACACACAAATAAAGCAGAAAAACAGAGTGAGAGCGAGTGAGATAACGAGAGAGAGAGAGAGAAGAGAGAGAGAGAGAGAGAGAGAGAGAGAGAGAGAGA